ACGCCGACCTGATCAGGCAAGCCAGCGAGTGGAGCGTCAAGCCATCACTGGTGTATGCCATCCGAGGGCATGCTGGCACTGAGGAGCACCTGGACTTAGTCACGAGGATGATTTAGAGCAGTGCAATGCCAGGTTCTGAACGAGGTTTCTTTCCAGCACCGCACAGCAATGAACATGGCGTGCTAACGACGCTTGCTGCGAGCGGCTTTGCCGCATGTTCACCCGATGGCTCGTGGTCTCTAACAAAAGAGGCCCTGCATAGGATAGAAGTGCACAGAAAGCTCCATGCATCCCACCCTATCTTCCAGAAGCGCGACGGCATACCTGTCCAAGATTTGACATGTTATGAACTCATGCTGAGCCTTCAAAACGCTGGGTGGGTCCACGCCAATCATCCGAAGCCGCAGACTTTGCTCCATTTGCCGGGTCAAGCATGCAAGACATTCTACACGCCCTTCAAGTCGGCGCAGTACGCGCGCCCATACATGTTGACGCTTGCAGTGGAATATCGGGTCTTCGAGCGTGGATATGCGGAGATCAAGCACTGCCAAGGACCATCTTACTACAACGAGATGCTGCACAATGTCGACCCAGCGCTGGCGCCTAAGCCTATGCCTAGACCGCGGGCTGCGCTTCCGCTCTGTGACGAAGACGTGGCGTTATCTTTGGAAGACGGCATTGAACAAGAAATTCTGGACGCACTACGTGATGGGCTCGAAATCGAGCACGAGGGGCTGCCACCAGCCACGCCAGTTCCGCTCCCGGGGCCACCGGTTGGCCCCCATGGGCCTCCAGGCCCTGGCGGAGGTGGAGGTGCTATGGGGCGGCCCTCGCACCTCATGCTCCGCCAAGTGTACAGCGCTGGGGTTGCTTCACGATTCACCCCATTAAGGTAAGTGAAAGCACACCTTTTGGTGGATGGAGAGCAAGCTGCCCCTTTCACCGCTCCTCCGACGTCACTGGCTGCACGAGGTCCATGACCCTGACCTCAGCCTCCCCTGGGGACGAGGACGCCGTGATGAGGTCCTTGAAGGATTGGTGCAACAAGGCTAAGAATTACAATCGTAAGTGGCTTCATAACGCATATATTGTACCTGTGCCACCACCCAACGAGGCCTTCCTCGCGGAGAATAAGATCACAAATGGCCCCATTGGACCTGTCCGTACAGATGCTGAGCTCGACGACATCGAGTGCGCCACAGGGGGCGAAGCGACGAGGATGAGGGAGGAGGAGTAGGAGCAGGAAGAGGAGGGGGAGGAGGGAGAGGAGCAGGAAGAGGAGGGGGAGGAGGGAGATGCTCTTTAACCTCCCCCTATATGAGGTATGCCGCCCACCCTCTCGCTGGGCCAGCAGCTGGGCCGGCCGCCCCAGCCCCTCCGGCCCCGGCCGCCCCTGCTGCGGCAGGGCGAGGGCGGGGGAAGGCCCGGGCCCGGGGAAGGGGCAGGGCACGCGGCCGAGCTGCTGCCCGCGGAAGCAGCTCGTCGGACTAACCCGCCCTACAAACCAAAAAAGACAAACGACCAACAATACACCAACAAACGCACCTTAAACCAACCCAAACCAAAGACACAACACTCGAACACAGTGAACACCAATCAATACCAAGGCAAATCAACAAAACAAACATGAAAACCATCAACAACACTCAAGAACTATCGAAAACCATCACAAACCAACAAAAACCATCAACAACCATCAAACACGACATAAAACCATTGTAAACCATCAAAAACCATCAAAACACATCAAATGCATTAGAAAACCATCACAACGCATCAAGAACCATCAAAAACGCATCAAAACCGTCAAAACTTCACAAATCACATAAAAACGTCAAAAACAGGTTCCGGGCAATTCCGGGCAGTTCCGGGCAGTTCCGGGCAATTCCGGGCAGTTCCGGGCAAACGCCAAAATCGTAAAAAAAACATGTACAAACCATCGCAAAACCGATGACATCCTATGCGTTTGGTGGCCTTCTGATGGCTGTTTGGTTGAATGTTAATATTTGTTATGGTTTTGGTTAGTTTATGATGGTTCGTACTGTGTTTGAATTGTTTTGATGTTGTTTGAGCGTTTTTTGATAGATTCGGGTGTTTTTTTAATGGTTTTGATGGTTTTGGTTAGCTTTTGATTGTTTCTGTTTGTGTTTGGATGATTTTGATGTTTGGTTATAGTTTTTGATGGCTTCGATTGTTTTTAAAGGGATTTCTTGGTTTTGGGTCGCTTTTGATGGTTTCTGGTTGTGGTTGAGTGGTGTTGATGGTGGTGTTTGATGTATTTCTATGAATTCAATGATGTTGTGGTGTTTCTACATGTGTTTAACGTTAGTAGCGGTGTTGGAATGTTCGTTGGTATCCATCTAATAATTTCTGAACAAGTCTACATTGGTGCTGATGGTTGCTCAACGCTTTCAAATACCACTGACAATAATCTTGTGCGTTGTGATTACCTATTGCAATTCCCCTCACCTCCTCAGCCTCATCCGTAGCCATTTGGGCTCCAGTGCAGATGTCACGTATTTTTGACATGGAGCTGGAACTTGAATGCGATGCGTCCCCTGGTTCCATTGTGCTGGGCGTGGGGGCAGCAACGTCAGTTGGATCTCTGCGGAGCCGCGGAGCTCGGCGCGCACTTGTGGGTGGTCTTTCAAACATGCGGGACCTGTTCGACTGGCCTAGCTGGTGCATCAAAGCATTGAGAGACAACGCCCTTGGCATTGACTTAGGCAATGCGTTCAAGGCTAGTTTGGAAAGAGGAATATCCCTCACCACATGCTTCTCAGGGATGGGCTGCGTCGAGATGGCCTGCTCGTTCATCCAAGAGGCCGCCAGGGGTCTGGGAATCTGCTCGGAGGAAGCGAGCCCCTTTACCTTAGAGTCAGCAACAGACATGGACACAGTGTGCCAAACCGTTCTCAAGAGCCACGCCAATGCCCCAGGCTGCATCTTCAAAGACATACTGCACAGGTACCCTACAGACATCTCCCTGGAACTCAAACAATTGAGCAAGAGAGCAAGTGGGAAATATGATGATATCATGGCAGACGCCAGTACAAATGATTTAGAAAAGAAGGCCTCTGGAAATGCTGTTGCTGCGCAATTCAAATCCCAATGTGCTGAGACCCTTAACAAATATTTTAGGACGTGCCCACGTCCCGAAAATCAAGCCGCGCCGTGCGCGCGACATCCTGCCTTCCGGAGTCGCTGCATGCCCCGGCTCCGCGGGCGAGGCGCGAGTGAGAAGCTGCGTCTACACGTAGCTGGCACGCCTTGCATCGACTGGAGCGCAATGGGTCAACTGTTGGGTTTCAATGGGCCAACGGCCGTGATATTCGAGTGCTGGGTGCACGAACGGCTCTTTGAGGAAGAAGACGTGATCATACATGAGTGTACGCGCAACTTCCCAGTCAGTTGTTTGAGTGAGAGGCTCGGGGAGAAGTACGTCATTCTCAGCCTTCTCATCACGCCGCAAGAATTTGGATGGCCATGCTCAAGGCCCCGGAGATGGACTATCATGGTGAAGAAGTCTGCCTACAAGGTGAATGTCCCCTACACTTTGGATAGTCATGGCATTGCTGGGCTATTTGGGAGAGCGGTGGAGCTGGACGGGAACGCGTTCTTCTGCGCTGGGCACGAGGACCAACAGGAGGTCTTCAGGGCGATGGCGAAGAAGCGGAAGTTCTCGGAGGAAAGCACTTGGGATTGCGACGACGTGTTAGACGTAGGTAGTTGGGCGCGGCTACAGGGGCACATACGCGTTGCCAACGAGATGGGGAAGACTGACCGCGACGTAGTCATTGTGGACTTGAAAGACAACGCTGAGCACATTACGAGATGCATCAGCATTGTACCGACTCTCCTTCGAAAATCTTTGGTGTATTCTCTATCTCTGAAGCGCGTCATGATTCCGCTGGAACACCTTCTAGTGCAAGGTATTCCTGTGATTGGCGATGATTTTCCGCACCGCTGCCCCTTCATGGATCTTATCAGAGCGAAGGCTCTGTCGAATGATGATGTCAAGTCACTGGCCGGAAATTGCATGCACATCGGCGTTGTGGGCCCCTTGGTCTTATACGTTCTTGCGTGCTTGGAGCCGGCCCGCGGGGGCACGTGCTGATTGATGCGTTTCGTCACTTGCCAGGCAACGCGGTTGCCAGGCCCAGGCGATGCGGTCGCCAGGTTATGATGATCTCATGCTTTACTGAGGCGCGTTGTTATTTCAGATCAAAAACTTCAGGCGTCTGACCCTCGCGCCGAGGTCGCAGATAGCAGCGGCTGCTATCTGCGACCCCGGCGCGCAGGATTGCTGCAATCCCCCACGGGCCGAAATTGCTACAATCCCCTGGGGCCGAGGTTGCTACAATCCCCCGCGGGCCGACATTGCTACAATCCCCTGGGGCCGAGGTTGCTGCTTCATTCCGCGGGCCGACATTGCTACAATCCCCCGCGGGCCGAATTTGCTACAATCCCCTGGGGCCGAAATTGCTACAATCCCCCGCGGGCCGAAATTGCTACAATCCCCCGCGGGCCGAAATTGCTACAATCCCCTGCGGGCTGAAATTGCTACAACCCCCCGCGGGCCGAAATTGCTACAATCCCCTGGGGCCGAGGTTGCTGGTTTCTTCCGCGGGCCGAACTTGCTACACCCCAACATGATTCAAACGCAATAGAAACATGTTAGCGCCTCGGCCTGTTCAGCGACACGGGTGGCACTACATATGAGGAATAAAACGCGTCTCAAATGCAACCTCCTTGTTGCACCATGCCGAGCACACCAAGCCCCAGGACCCCTTGCCAAAGCAGGGAACAGCAAATGCAACAAGGAGGTTGCATTTGAGTCGCAAAATATTCCTCATCTGTAGTGCCACCCGTGTGCTGCTGTCGCCTACCCTCTACTCTTCCATAGCTGTTCTGGCTGAAGGGTCAAGCCTCGTGGATCTGCAACGTTACTTGCCTGACATTCAGTTCTCCACTCTGTAAGTGGTCAACTTGGTTGCGCGATGTCCAGCCCCGGTGACCTCGAGTTGGAGTTCGAGTCGCTGCCGTCGGAGGCTACACCGGCGGCGGCGGCGGACATCGACGACATCTTCGATGCGACTTCCCCCTCGGGGAAAAGTGCGTCACAGTCGCCATCGCCGACCCCGACAGCGGCTGCGGCTGTTGCGGCTGCGCCGCCGCCGCCTAAGGCTGACGGCGACAAGAAGTCCACGCTGAGGTTCTGCATCGTTGACAAAAAACCCTTCGACAGCAAGCGCAAGGTGGACATGTGCCCCGGCCACGCGAGGGACTGGGAGGCCCTCCTCGCCCAGGTGGAGGGCAAGAAGGAGAAGAAATACGTGATGGCCCTGAAGAAGAAGGCCGCTACAAGCGATAACACGGAACTCATGACCCTCGTTGCCAAGTTCCAGGCAGACGCGCCCTCTTTGGGGCGGGGGCGCGCTCGCGCCCAATTCGACTTCGCTTCGTTCTTCAAGGACACCTACGCAGCCACCGAGACCGTGGACGACGTGGAGAGCGAGATGATGACGTTCCTAGTGTTTGAAGAGCACAGCCGGACAGCGCGAGGCGGCAAGTTGACAGACCCCAAGATCGCGTCCGAGTGGGCCAAACTGACAAAGGCAGCCTGCGAGGACAAGCTACCAGGCGCCAAGTTCGACAACGATGGCCCCGAGGGGGCCCTTCGGATCAAGGTGAAAGTGAAGGGCACCGTTCACGACCTGAGCAAGATAGGCGAGCAGGTGACGGTCCGGGAGCGGGAGAATGAACAGAAGAGGCCTTCGAAAAGAATAGTGGACGGCATGAAGCGCTCTTTGACAAACTCGCACTCGTCCTTCGACGAACTGAGGAGTCTCGTAGACGAGGAACTTGTGGCAGACCGCAAGAAAGAAGGGGCGTCAAACCCATCATCGAGCGCACCGCCAGCCCTGGGCATCTTCTCGGCGAGGCCGTCTGCGGGGTCGTCGGTCACAGATATCATTGCCAGCATTCGCCAGGATGCGTAATCGGACGCTGATCGCATGTCTGATGTCGCGTCCTCAGCGGGTTCCAGCGGCGGCGGCGACGGCGGCGACTACCGCCCCACGGCCGCTGGCGGTCACAAGAAGCAGAAGAAGTTCGACCGCGACACGCAGATCCTCAACACAGAAGGCAAGCCCCTGAACTACGTCGAGAAAGTGCGGAGGCTAGCGGATGCGACGATGGACGAGTTGGTGGCCTGCGAGACGAGCATCAAGCAGACAGCCATTCAGAACGACTTGGACTACTACAAGAAACACTTGGACATCTTGCAAGTGCGCAAGGAGGCCCTGGTCGCCGTCATGCACAGCAAGGCGAGCATGGCCGTAATGCAGGATTTGGGTGACCCAAAAGGGATTCCAGCTGCAAGGGGGTGGTGCGATAGATTTTGGGCAATCGTATTGCAAATGTATTACGCTGGAGAATTGTATTACATTGTATTGCAACGAATGTATTGCACGCGAAAATCCAGCAATACATTTGCGCCCTGGAGTGTATTGCACGCCCCGAATGCATTGCGACCCCACACATGTATTGCACCAAATCTATTGCACCACCCCCTTGTCGCTGGACCCCCGTTTAGGTTAGCCAGAAGGATGCGGTGAAGACGGGGCAGAGGAAGTCGCCATGCCCGGACTTCGCCACCATCATGTCCCTCGAGCAGTTCAAGGACATGCAGCACGTGATCTCCGCATCGACTACCGCCGAGGAGTTGAAGACCGCCGAGAACCAGTGCAAAGCGGAGATGGCCAAGATGAACCAACTCATCAGCGCGAACAAGGCAATCGTCAAGGAGTCCAACTCCTTGCTCAAATCCCGCTCTAGGCAGCTTCAGACGATCGAGGAGGATAAGGCTCAGAGGGAGAAGAGGAGGGCCCAGGCATGCGCGGGTGGGTGTCGCCGCCAATATGCCACCGCCAGCGGCCAAGAAGCCCAAGCTGGACGCTACGGGCGACCTCTTGAACTTCGAGTACCAGGAGAGCCAGCAGACGTTGGCCATCAACTTCAGCGCGCTGAGCGCTAACTCTCCGGACTTGCTGGAGCCTTTCGTGGTGACAGGCTGCCCGGTGGATTTCGCAGTGAAAGAGGAGATGCTGAAGGCGTTCCAGCAGAAGTTCACCAACTGTCCACAGCGGACCAGTTCGGGGCGCGCAACTGCGCCGATGAAAGACCCTACAGATCAGCAGCGTGCAGTGACAGCCTTGCTTGGGTGCTTCCCCTATGACCTCTTGAAGAACATGCACAGCTCGGACGCCTTCAAAACAGATCATCCCGAAATACTCAAGCTCCTCGAGCCGGCCTTGTCAGCGATGGCTGCCGACTCCCAGTACGGCGGCGTCGAGAATTTTTTCATGTCGAAAATGCGCTTGACTCTGCAGGGCACCGTGAACGTGGTGATGCTGCGTGCTGACAACTACACGGCGTGGTGTGGCAAGCACGGTGAGGCCGCGAACTCCAAGGGCGTGAACATCGAGACTGCGTTCAAGAAGATGGCTGCCATGACGACCGCCGAGGTTGCTGACTTTATCAAGGACCATCCGGGATCCATCAAGCAGGCAACGATCGGGAAGGGGGACTGCGTGTATGTGCCCATCGGATGGATTCTGATGGAGCACGCGAAGCCTGGGATCGACATGACGTGTGTGAAAATGTCAGTGCTCCACTTCCTCCAGGGCGATGGCCTCAGTTTCGCCACCAAGGCCATGGAGCTGCTGATCTCGAGCATGGAGGGCATGTCCAAAAACGTTGATTTGGTGAAGGAGGTTTACGAATTCATCAAACATAATCCCGAGCCAACAGCCGAGATGAAGGATGAGCCCAAACCGTAGCCTTAGCAGGGAACGGCCGATAAGAAGGCTGATCCCAAGCGTCAGCCTGCCTGAATGAGCCGTCACTGCATATGGCTAGTGCGATGCCAGACAGGTCCAAGGCAACAGTGGGTTCGGGGGAAAGATAGAACAATATTAAAAACAGAGGGCTTGTTGCCACAGCTGAGAGTTTTGAAGAGACCATACAGAAGCTGGCCTTCAGGTGAATGTTCCGGCGTCTTGTCCAGAATGCGTGCGTGGGCTGAGCATGCGTTTCGGCGTTTCTCCACTTAGTTCACAGTGATGGATGTTGCTTCGTGGTGCAGTATTGGGTTGCCAAAGCTTTGAAGCAATTGAGTTCCCCCTTTTACCTCCACCATCGGAGGGCCTCCGACGACGGCGACGTCGACGTTGACGATCCTCGTTGCCCTCTGCCTCCTCCCGCCCTCCCGCAGGGTCCCAGCGCGAAACCACTAGGGGGGACAGGCGTGAAACCACTAGGGGGGACAGGCGTGAAACCACTAGGGGGGACAGGCGTGAAACCACTAGGGGGGACAGGCGTGGCACCACTAGGGGGGACAGGCGTGAAACCACTAGGGGGGCGACGACGACAACGACGGTGGCGACGGCGACAACGCGGCCCGGCCGGCCCCAGACCCGCCCCGGCACTGCCACGGCGACGCCTCCTGAGGGCGGACCTGGCGCAGGCGCCCTGGGGACGACGACGACGACGCGGCCCGGCCGTTGTTGTCGAGGTCGTGGTCATCAGAGGAGGCCCTCCGACCCTCCGAGGGCGGAGGTGAGAGGAGGACCTGCGCTGACCTACCCATAGATGTCAAGATAAGAGGTAAGAGGGAGGAGGAGGCCCCCTGAGGGCTTAGCGGAACCCTCTCTCCCTCCACTTCCCCCCGCTTGCTTGCCCAACCCACTCCTGGCCGAGAGAAGTTCACAGGTGCAGGGCCGCAGGGCCAGATTTTGATTTTTCGCACTGGGATTGTCGACCGACCTGCTGCACTCATTGGTTTCGCGCATCCCCAGTTGCCCCCGCGCGATACTGCCCCGTAGCCGCCTATGCGGCCCTCTGGCCCTGCATCTGTGAAATCCCCTAGGCGGAGGAGGAGGATGAGGAGGAAGAGGAGATGGAGGGAGGGAGGGAGGGCGGGGGGGAGGGGGGGGAGAGAGGGCGGGAGGGAGGGTGGGAGGGGGGAGGGAGGGAGGGAGGAGGGCGGGCGGGGGGGGCGGGCGGGCGGGCGGGCGGGCGGGCGGGCTGGGCGGGGAGGAGGAGGAGGAGGAGGAGGAGGAGGGAGGGAGGGAGGGAGGGGAGGAGGGAGGGGAGGGAGGAAGAGGAGGAGGGGAAGAGGAGGAGGAGGAGGAGGAGGAGGAGGAGGGAGGGAGGGGGAGGGGGGACTTGGAGGAGGAGGACGATGATGATGATGATGGATGGATGATGATGAGAGGCCTCCAGGCCCTCGCGGGCGACGCACTCGGGGACGAGGACGAAGGCCCCGCTGGCCCACGCCGGCTTGACGTCTTCGCCGCGCTCGAGGGCGCGCAGACTCGGCGGCGAGGCGAGCACCGCCTCGCGCGGGAGCAGCGCGGAACCGATCCCAATCCCCACGGGCACGGCCGTGGCCCCACTTTGAGCAGGGACCGACCGTCCCGCCCGGCATTTCTATCGGCCTAGCATGAAAGGTTCTTGGAACTCAGAGATGTTCGATCAACAAAAATAATGTTCTTAGAACGTGAGCCCGAGGTGTTAAAACAAGACAATCCCAGCCAGACGCGTTCTAAGAACATGTCGTACAGACCACGCTAAGTTGTTAGAACATTCTTTGGTGGGTCTATAGGCGCCCCAGGACGCTTCGCAACTGCTTGACCACTGGCCCACGCCCTCAAGCGATTCCGCCTGATCTCGTCCGCAGCTCACTTCGTTCGCGTCATGTCGTCCGAAGCCCACCAGCTCTCTCTAGGCGCAGGTGGTCTAAGGAGATTCCTCTTCCAACCCCTTTCTTTCCTTATTGATATACGCCCCCACCCGGCCGGCGGCCAACCCGGAACTATGCCGACCCCATGCGGAAGACCCCCTCCCTCCCAGTCCCTGTCAACAAAACAATACAAAACTCACTCTGCCTCCACATGTGGAGCATGCGCGGCCAACCCGATGTGCCCCCCCCCATCCCTGTTAAAAAAACACTACAAAGTACACTTTGGGGCACAGTCTTGAGTCATGCTCGTGAGGCCCGCGAGCATTTTGCATTGTTTTTGACAGGGACGGCGGGGGTATCAGCATGTTCCCTGCTGTGCGCAGGGCTACCATCCCTGACAACAAACAATGAAACATGCACCTCGCGGCTAAATCTGGATCATGGGCGGCCACCCCGCGATCGCTGTCAAGTGGTATTTGAAAAAGACGGCGGGGGAGGTGGCGGGTAGCCTGCTGTGCGCAGGCCCACCAGACACAATGAAGGGCATCGGTTTTCGACAAGGATGGTGTGGGACGACATGTGTGCCGATGTGTGTTGTCACGTGCGAAGGCGCAGCTGACGCACTCTGCACGTGCCCCGAACGTGGCGCATCTGGCGCGGAAGGAGTGTGCGGCACGCCTGGCGCACTCGGAGCACGTGGCGCATCTGGCGCTCCAGGCATGCCTGGCACGCTCGGGCCCCAGGGGTGCCTGGCGCGCGTTGCGCCCCTGGCACGCCTGGCGCACCTCGCACAAGCGTCGCGCACCTGGGGTCGGCTTTGGTTCCCAGTAGCTGTCCATGCAAAGACGACTGGTGATCATTCTCAGGCTCGGGTTTACTTATGTCTTGAGAGGGCGGGTGGAAGTGAGCTGGACGGCTTGCGGGCGGGTGGGTAGCTTGACCCCTCCCCCCGACCCCCTCCCCTGGACCTGGACCGGGCGCCCCGCGAGGTGTCAGAGGGTATTTTTGGTCGCCCAAAATGACCCCAAGATGACCTCAGAGAGCCCAAGAAGACCTCCCAAATGGCTCAAGATATCCCAAGATGCCTCAAGTCGGCTCCGAAAATGCTCCAAGAGGCGCCAAGAACGCTCCAAGACGGCTCCAAGACGCCTCGAAAAACCTCCACGGAACGGAGGCCTCCAAGAAGCCACAATCCTTCCCAAAGCCAATGGAAATCTATGTGTTTTGCTTTCTCGCCTTTTCGCTTCCGATGGCCATCCGAGGCCTCAAGATGGCTCCAAGATGGCCCAAGAGAGCCCCAGGAGAGACCCAAGAGAGCCCCAAGACGGCCCCCAAAGCGCCCAAGAACGTTCCAAGAGCGCTCCAAGAAGGGTCCAGTAGACGAGGTTCGGTGCTCCCGAGGGGGGAAGCATATTGTAGCTCCCCTCTTTTTTGATCGATGTCCTCCAAGATGGCCGATGACCCCAAGAGAGCCAATGAAGCTCCCAAGAGTGCCCCAAGAGGGCCCCAAGAGGCGCCCAGACGGCCCCAAGAGGCGTCCAAGAAGCCTCCAAGAAGCTCCCAAGAGACCCACAAGAGGCCTCAAGAGGATGCCCGAAGCACCCAAGACGCTCCAAAACGGCCCTGGGCTCGCCAAGATGTCTCTTCTCCTCCTCCTCCTCCTCCTCCTCCTCCTCCTCCTCCTGCTCCTCCTTGTCCACTGTTGTTCCTCCTTCCTCCTCTTCCTCCTCCTCCTCCTTCTCCTCCTTCTCATCCTACTCCTTCTCTTCCACCATCCTTCCCCTCTTGGGGTTTCGGACGGCTTCCCCCGCTCTTCGTTATTCTGCATACCCCCCCACTTCCATGATAACCTCAACTCCCCTGGGCATCGTTTCTGGATGGGCTGGTGGGTATACTTTTTGGGCACTCAGGCGCACGAATCAAGTCGGACGCCGGGCAAGCAGGGGCAGGCTGGTAGGGGATACTTTTTTGGTCCGCGGGCGGGCGAAACGAGTCGAACGCCGACCCTTCACCCAGGGCGTGTGTTTCACACCGAGGCGTCCTCTGACGGACCCGCGGCCTGACGGGACCCCCCCAGAGGCCGAACACGGTCAAACACCACCCGGGGTGGTTCTCCAATGCGCGAGCACCTCTGGGAAGGGCTCACCAGGACGAGCAGCGGCATCAGTACCTTTTTCTTTTCATCGCGTGCGCCTCGTGGAAGGCCGCCGGGTCGCGGCCGAAGCGCAGCCCCACGATGCCGACGCCATCGTGCCGCGGGCGCGCCAGGCCCTCACAGAGCGCCGCCACGCCGGAGGCCCACTGCTGCTCGACGACCGCCGCCGCCTCCGCCGGGTGAATCTCCGCGGCTGGCTCCTCCGAAAAGAGAGAGGTCGGGGGCTTAGCGGGCCCTGGAAACGACAGGGCCGATTTTTGTTCACCGGTTCCGTTTTGCCGTTTTTGTTGCCGGTGCCGACGCCGCTTTTTCACCGGTTCCGTCGCCGTTTTTTGACCGGTGTCGGCTCCGGTTCCAATCCTGGGGCCGTTTTTTGCCGTTTCAAGTCGCCGTTTTTTGGCCGTTTCTATTTTCAAGGGGCATTTTTTTGGAAACGGTGAAAAAGCAGCCCTGCCGTTTCCGGGGCCCACAAAGGTCGGGGGGGTCGAGGTTCTGGGTTCTCCTCGTCGTCGTCCTCGTCCTCCTCCCCCTCCCCCTCCCGCTCCCCCTCGTCCTCGTCCTCCTCCCCATCCCCCTCCCGCTCCCCCTCGTCCTCCTCCTCCCGCCGCCTCTCCCTCCTGCTCCTCCTCCTCCTCCTCCTCCATCTCCTCCTTCTCCTCCTCCTCCTCGTCGTCCTCCTCCTTCTGGATTCCCTCGTCGTCGTCCTCGTCCTCCTCCCCCTCGTCCTCCCGCTCCCCCTCGTCCTCCTCCTCCGCCGCCTCTCCCTCCTCCCTTTCCTCCTCGCATTCCTCTCCTCCTCCTCTCCTCCATCCTCCTCCTCCTTCCCCTCATCTTCCGCCTCTCCCTCCTCCTCCTCCTCTCTCTCCTCCTCTCCTCCTCCTCCTCCTCCTCCTCCTCCCTCCTCCCCCCTGCTGCTGATGCTGCTGCGCTCGCGCCACACGCGGTGTCCGCCTCCTCCCTCCTCTCTCCTCCTCCTCCTCCTCCTCCTCCTCCTCCTCCTCCGCCTCCCCCTCCTTGTCAGGGGCGGGAGGTTCAAGGTGCGACCTTCTCGGGCATGTTCGTCGGATCTCGGCGCCTTTCCAGCCTCGGGATCTGCCTGCCAGCACCTGCGCCTCGACGAGGGCCTTCCCCGGGGTGCCCGGGTTGTCCCGAAAGGCCGCCGGTGGTCCGATTCATGACCCGCAGACCACGAGGTGACGGACTCAGGCGGGGTAGGAAGCACCGCCCTGGAATCGGCGATGCATCGCCGATATATGGACACAAAGGCCTCTGATACCGAAACCGTGCGTTCCGATCGGGCCCCTACCGGCGATCACTGGGCGATAGGGGAGGGCGAGCTCAGGTGAGTTGGGAAGCATCGAAGCAGGGTCTCCTGGTGGCCGCGCCTGGATGCTGCTCAAGGAGCTGACCACGGTGGGCCCATGCAGTGCCCCGCAGGAGTCCCGGAGCCAGATCTGATCGCATCTCGATAGAGGCTCGGGCTGGATGCCTTTTTTGAGGAGGCAGGGAGTCGAAGGCCTGCCTTCGCAGGGGGGGACTTTTCGGGGGGGGGCGGGCTCGGGGGGGCGGGGAATCATCGACCTGGAATCGGCGGTACATTTCACTACCGATAGATCCGTACGTGGGCCACCGATGCCGACTCCGCGCGCTCCTGGGCGGACCAGGTCATCGAGCCCCCACAGGCGATCGGGGGGCGATGGGGGGCCCATCCTGCCTGAGCCTGTGCCCCCCGAGCGTTGCCCCCGATCCTCCCTGAGCCTATCCCCCCGATTGGGAGCCGACACTCCCTGAGCCGCTTCCCCCCCCAAGCGTTGCCTGGGATCCGGATCCTCGTGCTCCCACGAGGCAACCACGACCACCTCCGCCGCGTTGCCCGGCTCTCGCGCCGGCGCCGCCGCCGCGCGCGCGCCAGGAGGCGCCGGGGCGGGGCGCGGCGGAGGCGGCTCGCGCCGGAGCTCGCCGAGGAGGGGCACCGCCAGCGCGAACTCGGCGATGAGCTCCACAACGCAGGCGTGGTGGGCCACCACGCGACCGCCCGCGGCGCCGGGCCCCTCGCGGTGCCACCACCCAGAGAGTTGCAGAATGACCAACTGGTACATGACCTGCGCGATGGCGGAGACGCGCCGGGCCACGTCGACGGCGTCCGGGCCGAGCACGCGCAGGAATTCCAGTGAGAGGCGCCCGGCGTCGCAGCCAGACGCTGCGAGCCGCTCGGCGGTGCGCGTCTGGCGGCAGTAGATGACCATCTCGAGCAGCTGAGGAGGCTCAGGAAAAAAATCATCAAAAAACAATACATGTGGAAAATACCTCCAAAACCAAAATTCGACCGCCGCCCAGCCAGGTCGCGCCGCCCTCAGGTCGTAGCCCAACTGCTCCACGAGGCTCAGGGTCTCAACGTCTAGGTGGAGACAGTTGACATTTCCCAACTCGCTGATGTTGATCTCCGCGCCATGCCGCTTCAGCAGCATGGCAGCCTTCCGCTGGTGGCCACCGATGGCGGCGTGCAAGAGTCGTGGTAGGAAGGCGCCAAATTCCACTCCAGCGAGAAGAGCCGCCTCTAGCCTTCGAGCCTCCAACTCCGTGAGTTTTTGTTCACCCCCGAACAAATCTATGAACGTCCATTCCTGTCCTTGGAATGCCAGCATCTGCACACCCACAGCCCTGAGCGCTCTCGCCAACATCGGTTCACCCGCCAGGATGGCCACGTCAAGTGCCGAACACTCACATGGAATCATCGCACGAAATCGTTTGTGTCGCAGCTGATTCGTGCCGCAAGGACTGCGAAGCGCCCGGAAGAAACGCTTGCGCGACAACGTAATACCGACTCCGACATTCGAGACATACACCTCAAACTCGTGATCTACGAGAGCGCCACGGAGCCTCTCGGCGCCCTTCACGAGGTCTGCGACGCTCTGCGGGCTCAATCTGGCCAAGTGCCTCACCACGTCTCCATCGCTGAGCGGCATGTGGAAGGCACGCAGCTTCTGGATCAGGGAGTGGACCCCCCCCGCAGGAAAGAAACCGAGAGGCAAGAAGACTGGCCCTGCAGTTGCATGAGCCGAAGCGGCTCCGCCTCCTCCTCATCACCCCTTGGCCCTTGGGGGGCACGAAACTTCCACGAGAAAGCCACACCAAGGAATGCGGTAATCCGGGAAGATGCGGATAGAAGGGCTGGGGTCGTCCCGGGGTCGTGAGCCAATACTTGACCACGGCATGCGTCGGCCTTCCCATGAGTCAGTGCGGAAAAAGCTACCCCCGTGAGTCATCTCTGATTAGGCACTGTCGTCCCCAGAATCAACCCAGGCAAGCACCAACTGAGCTGGTGGCACGGATCCATCTGCGAGCCCTCATCACGTGCCACATGTTTCCGAAAGTAAGTTCGCGCAGAGAGAGAGAGAGAGAGAGAGAAAAAGAGAGAGAAAAGGAGAGAGAGAGAGAAAGAGAGAGAGTGAGAGAGACAGAAAATATATAGAGAGAGAGAGAGCGAGAGAAAGAGCGAGTCAGAGAGAGAGAGAGAGTGAGAGAGAGAGAGATAGACAGGTAGGTCAACGAAAGAGGGATGAAGAGAGAGAGAGAGAGAGAGAGAACGAGCGATATATAGAAGTACGAGAAATAGAGAGAGAGGGATAACGAGAAGGAGAGAGGGAGGGAGAGAAAGAAAGAGAGAGAGAGAGATAATACGAGAGAGAGAGAGAGGAAAGAGAGAGAGAGAGAGAGAGAAAGTGAAAGAGGACTATATATATATAGAGAGAGAGGTGTGTGTGTGCGAATTTCTGCAGATGCACAGAAAGAGACTGGGAGAAGGAGAACAGCAATCGTAAACATAGGCGCTATTTGAAGAGGGGTGCCCAAGCGCGCGCACACAAAAAACAAAAGCACGATGTCGTGGCATCATGTGGTGGATTTTGGGATTGGAACACCCTCCGTCTCCAGACCCTTGGTGGGCCCTGGAAACTACGGGCCGTTTTGTTTTTTCACTGTTGCCGAAAAAGTGTCTCTTCAACATGGAAACGACAACAAAATTAGAGACCGGAAACGGCAAACGAACGGCTCCAGGATTGGAACCCGAGCCGGAACCGGTACAACAAAAACGGCGACGGATCTGGTAACAAACGGCGTCGGAACCGGCAACAAAAACATCAAAACGGAACCAGTGAAAAAAAAACCTGTCGTTTTCAGGGCCCACTAAGTCTAGGCCCGCCACGATCACCGTGGCGCCTGGCAACAAACTCCCAAGCGCATCTGCGTTCGCACCTGGCCGAACGCACTAATAATCAATCACAGATCCGGGCGAAGGACCCATACAGATTGATCTGTGAGTACCGCAAGGTAGGTGGGACGAAAGAGTGGATCTCCCTATGGCCCTATGGGGCCAGAAGCGTGTCAGGGGGTGAACCAGAATCAGTGAAGAGCTGCGGGCGAAACGCGTGAGGGGTGCGCCAACATTGAGAGGACGCACCCATTGGGGTCCTCGGTTGAACTCCTTATGAGACCACCGAGAGAGCGCGGTGGGAGCGCCGAAGTGGGTGAGGAGCCGCATGCGAGTGCACACGCTGGGGCCCGAGGTGGAGCTCCCTATGGGGCCACGCAGCGTGTGAGGGGTGTGCCAAAGTGGGCGGGGAGTCCTCCTCCTCCTCCTCCTCCTCCTCCTCCTCCTCCTTATCCTCCTCCTCCTCCTCCTCCTCCTCCTCCTCCTCCTCCTCCTCCTCCTCCTATGCGGACCTTGCTGCTAAAGCTCAGGTGCGCAGAAACGGGTTCGGGGACGCAGGTGAGTACTACTGCTGGGGTCTTCGCTCCCTTTTGGGGCCACGAAGCGCGTGAGGGGTGTGCCGTCACAGGTGCGAGGCCGCATGTACTTGCGAAGCACTGCCAGTGGGGCCTTCGGTGAGACTCCCGATGGGGCCACGAAGCGCGTGAGGGGTGCGCTGGAGTGGGTGCCTCAGGCGGGCTCCCTCTTACTATGGGGCCACGAAGGGCTTGAGGGCCACGCCAGAACGAGTGCGGAGAAGCATGTGAGCATTGCCGCTGGGGCCTCAGGTGGAGCTGTCTCTGAGGCCACGAATCGTGTGAGGGGCATGTCTCTGAGCGGAAAAGGAGTGGATGCGGGGCGCTCTATCTTCAAAACGAGTACCCACCACCACAGGAGTCTTGGGACAAGCCTGGGCGGAACTACTTCCTCCCCCTAACGAAGAAAAAACAACGTGATGCCACGACGCGCCGAGAAGAGCTTGCATCTCGGATGCGGCACACGCATCGAGAGCGATGAACAGCCCTACAGCAAGGCGCACAAGCTCTCATTGTAGAAACGACCCCCGTTCTTCCAAAGAGTACAACGGCCCGAACGCAAGGATGTTCTACAGCGTCGGCCCTGCCAGGGCACGCACCCACCATGTTTCGAACGACGGTGTGGCGCAAGAGGGAGGGTGAGGAGCAGATGGAGAATAAAGAGGAATGGAAAAAAAGGGGCCAGAGAGGGGAGAAGGAAGAGACGGGATCGGGGCAGAGAGAGGAGGAGGGGGAGGAGGAGGAGGAGGAAAACTGCCAAACCTATGCCAGAAAAACATCCTGCAAGAGCCTCCGCCGGCCAACACACCCCAAACCATCAGATCACAGAGGGTTCCCTCCCCCAGGATGGACAAACACATCCAACAAACACGGAGAACACTGGGGACTAGGGTACCCTCCCCGAACCGATCTCGATCTTATACCACGGTCTGACCGTAGCGAGAGGAGGGAGAATGGAGAGAAGAAGAAAAAGCGAGCCCCCCCGCAGCGGATCGCCGCTGACCCCCCCGAGGGGCCTTCTCCCCTGACACCATTTACCTATTTCGCATCTTGCCTAGTTGGAAGCAAAATCTACAAGCCCGCCACACGGGGGGTTCACACGAACGGATCATTTTTTTTCCGACGGCCCTCGACTATCGAAGATGGAGCCATGGGGGACGTTCTTGAATGTCTTGTTTTTGACCGCTCTGGGGCCTCCAAAGGACCCTGGGGGTATCGGAGGGCCTGGATCCGAGCAGGCGCCAACGACTACGAACCACAAAGAGCCCCGCCCTTCCGATCCGCAAGAGGACACAACAGAAACAAGGCACCTTACGAGCGACGAACAGCTCACATACCGATCATCCACCCATGTCACCATGGTATACATACCAAGGCGCAGCCCCATGCATACAGTAGGGGCCTGACCACAAGAACCCTTTTCCACAAGAAACCCAAACTTGAGACCCCAGGACGTCCATTGACTTTGGGTGTGGGGGACGTCACGGTTTCCATCGCCAAACCATCGGAACTCAATAAACCCAGGGCACCCTGGAGGCAAACGGGGTGTTTTTTTGGCATGGGTCTTCCCTGTACACGATCCCATGGATCCGTTCCGCGTGGGGCAGCCGCGCAACGCCGCCCCGCATCCATGGGGTCGCGGCCGGAAAACCCGAACCGCGAGGCCGTGGGTCATGCCTGGCGCCGGGGCCGAAAACAACACACGGGCGACGTTACTGTTAGGTCGGGCGGGTTTTCTTACATGGGGGATGTTTGACGATTCATATATTCTTATATATATATACACATAACCGCATCATACTCCAAAATCGTAATATAAAAAACCCTCCCCGAACTATTTTTGGACTGCCTTGGAATTCCCCCCCCTGTAAGGGGACGCGCCGGGGCCGACGGCGAAGCGCGGGCTACGCTGCGGACAGACGGCGTGGCTTTCGGGCAGCGCCCCTCCCCGCCGGGCGCCGCCCGTGGACGCCGCCGCGGAGAGGCCGCTCTCCGGCCCTCGGTCGATTTCGGGGGCGCCCTAGACACAAGCGGGGGCCACCCTTCGGTCGGGCAGGTCCCCCATGCAGGGGTTCTTGCATATAACCTTTTTTAATATAAACATAAAACCACAGTCGCCAGACTATGTTTTGACTGTTTTTCAAATATCCTACCCGTAGAAAGACGCGCCCGACATAAGGCCACCATCAGAAAATGCGACAGGAAACAAAACAGCCCCCCCTCCTCCTCTTGCAAAGGGACTCGAAGAGAGGACTGGCGAGGTCAGTTAAGTCGGCGACACGTACCCTGCGAGAGGAATGAGCGAGCAAGACAACCAGTCAGCATGTGCCCACTCCCTGTGAAACGGCGCCGGCACGGGGCGCTTGGCCGCAGGTCGCTCCACAGAGACGCGTTCGCCTTGAAGGCCACGCGCAGAGGTGCGAGAGAGGAGGAGAATTAAGAGGACAACCGCGGGCACCCCGCCCGCCTGGCTTGAAACATGTTCCGCGCCACCCCATTTACGACACATGGGTGTCGGAAGCGAAAAAATGAAAAAATACCTGGCCGGGCAGACCTCGCAACGACAACGTTCCAAGAAAGGCGGTGGTATATAGGCGTCAATATGTGAACCGGTGGGGGATAATATTGAACATCTGACAACCGCACGCGACGTCAAAACAAAAACATGGATATAAGTTGCATTGCCCACAGCGCAACACGTTGTAGCTCAAGATGCGCACGTGACGGGGGCGACCGAAAAAAAGGCAAGCAAGATTGTGAGAGCGCGCGCGAGCTTGAGCGCGTCGACGCGCGCCTCTCGACGCGCGCCCGCGGGGGGGCAGGGCGAGGAAGAGACCGGAACAAAGTTAAAGGGGGGAATAACATGTCGACGCGCGCCCGCGGGGAGGCGGGGCGCTGCCCATTCGACCCGAGGGGCGCGAGCTCGGGCCGACGAGCGAAACGACGCGAGACGATGCGAGCTCAACCGCTGGGTTCCTCGAGGCCCAACAGCCCGGAGGAGCGGGGGCGCCGACAACGCCGCCGGCCCCCCCCCGCCACGAGTCCGCACGAGAGAAGGAAAGGAGAGGGAGAAAAAAATAGATGAAGTATCGCCCCCGCCCGAAATTGGCTGCTCTTATCGACGAAGGCCGGACTCTGGCGACCTCGAGCACGTCCTTCAGTGATCCGCGGTGAAGGGCGCCAGTTTGCGGGGCTGCGACCACCCCGCGGAGGCCCCTCATTTGCGACGAGAAGAACGGGGCAGAGAGGACGGGAAGGGACCCGACTCCAGAGAGACGCGGGGAGGTGAATTCCACGACCCCCAGAGGCAGCGGGGCTGGAAGCGAGGTGGAATGGAAAACGGGAGGAAAGACCCCCCGACGAGGGGCATTCGCGCCTGTGCGCTGCAAGAGAAGAAGAATAGAGATCCGGGCGGAACTGCAGCGGGGTCCAC